GCATAATAAAAGACAATGGATTCCCTGTACTTAAATCTTTTGGATATTCAAATCCTTTTGGTAAATAAGGTGTTCCTCCTAATTTGCAATTGTATCTACTTGCTGGTTTATCACTACATTTAAATCTAACTATTTTCTTTATTGTTGATGACATTATTTCTTTTGCAATTTTCTCAAATTTCTCATTGGATGTCATTGAATTGATTATTGATGATTTATGAGATGAAACTCTTGATCTTTTATATTAATTCTTTTCTATTTCAGATCTTATTCCTCAATTTTCTCTTTTTTAGATAAATTAAAAAATTCCTTTTTAGATGAATTTTCATTTGAATATATTCTATAAATAAACATTACAATATTCATACATTGTATTGAAACATGAACATAATCACTTCTCATTATAATCAAACACAAATTAGTGAATTGTTTAGTGACAATTTGGCTTCGTCTCATTTCTTATTAATTTCATATTCTTTTAATATTCAATTTTATTATTGTATTTTCATTTGAAATATTGAGGAATATCAAGAATTTAAAATAAACAAAGAACATCACTACAATAAGATGACATCAAATCAACATGAAAACAAAGTAAAAGAAAATGAACAAGAGATAATTATGAAAGAGTGTGAAGATAAAAGAAAAGACCAAGAAGAAAGGAAAACAAAAGAACTAGAGAATGATATTATTAAAATCAAAGAAGGACATAAATCAAATAAAACACATAAAATAATTCAACAGCTAGAAAAATGGACAGAAAAAGAATAAGAGGTATTATATTTGATTCTAATATTGACAGTTGGAATAGGGGTACATCACCGTTTAAAGAAAGAATAATAAATAAAAAACATTTAATGTTCATTGTTGAAGATGAAGATGGAAACATATTTGGAGGATATGTTAATGAGAGAATTGGTACAGAAGATGAATGTTATGTTAAAGATCCAAATGCATTTTTATTTTCAATAGAATCAAAAGGAAGAATAAAAGAAATGATGAAATTTGATATTGGGACTTACCAAGAAGCATTTTATTATGACAGTCAATACTATAACTTTTCATTGTTTGTTTTTGGGACTGGAAGAGATATTTGTGTTTGTAAAGAATACTATAAAACAGAGTCACATTGTTGTCAATGGTCATTTAAATATAAAGGAATACCAGATGCACTTTGTGGAAAGTGTCATTTCATACCAAAACGAATCATTGTTATTGAAATGAATTAAATTTTATTATTCGTATTTTATTTGTAATTTTAATAGATAATTAATAAAAAGAATCAACTTCAAAATAAAGGTTATTAAGATAATTAAAGTGAATAAAATAAGTTAAGTAGATCATATGAACTTCTTTTGAATGAACAGAGTGTGAATATAATTATAATGAAAAATGTCAGAGTTTTTATTTTTCTTTAAAAGATCATAAATAATTAACCTGATTTATTTTAACAAGTATTAATTTAACTCTTATTCATTGTGTTTTTGTTTTGAAAATATTTTCAATACAATAACTGATTTTATAATCTTGTATTTATTAAAATCGTTATTATCAATGATAAATAATCATCAAGTTGATAATTACATTTTTAATCATTTCAAATTAATACAGATTTATCATTGAATTTAATTAAATACCTAATCAATTAACTAATCATTAAAATTTATATTCAATTTAATAAATGATTAATATAAATTATTGATGTATTATTGATAATGATGAAAATTATTTCATAATCATTTATAAACATTATATATGATTATTGTTAACTTATAGATATGAAGAAATATTCATTTTAAATTATGCTATCATAATTATAATGATTAATAAATCATATTTCATTTTTATAAATCAGAATAAAGAGTAATAAACAATTTATTCATTTATGAAATTATCATTAACCATTTAATAATGTTTTCTTTCATTTAAAAATTAAACAAAATTTAATACAATACTGTAATATAATTAAATTAATATATCAAATATTTATTATTGATGATCTAGAAAGAACCATTGTAATTGGTATTGTATTGGTTCATTTTTATTGTTTGCTAATGCTTCCCATATCATTGTTTTATCTAATTGTAGGTTTTTATGTTCTGCAAAACGAACTGCTTCTACTACTCTTCCCTTACGAATTAAACACTCAATCAATGTTTTATAATCCCCGATTCTTTTTAACATATCTAATCCATATCTTTCTATTGTCTCATCTGCTGATTTACATAATGATAAAGCAACTTGTGTGTTGTCATTAACAATATGGTGTTGAATAAATTCTTTGATTGTATTGAATTTATTTAATCCATTTAATTTCTGAATAAAATCTGCTTGTAAGTCATCTGATATTCCTCCTTCATTTGTTTGTGTTGATGCTCTAACTGCTTCAAGATAAGCACCAACAATATAATTTGGATCATCAACATTTCTTATCAATGATTGAACAGCAATTTGAAGATCAAATTCTTGTAAATTGGAAGAGACAATAATTCTGAATAATTCACAAACAATCCACAACGATGTTTTCTTTTTTCCATATTCTTCAAGAAGTATTTTACAAACATCAAATGCATGACGTTCAATGAAGAATAATAAACGAGAACATTCATCTGAAAATAATTGTATTTGTTGATTTAACTTTTGATAATAAA